CCCCCCCCCCCCCCGATCAACACTGCGTTTTATTCAAGACTGTACTGCTGTGCGAGAGGCCGAGTGGTGGTCGTGTCGCCTTGGACTTTGGTGATGTGGCCAGTCGCGCAACTTCATTTTATGCTATGCAACTCCGCGGAAGGGTTTCTTCGAACAACGATAATGGTTCAGGCAGCCACGGCCGTGCGCTCAGCACGAACTGCATGGCGGGAGGCGTGGATTCCGCCGGCAAGGCGGACGTGGACAAGGAGGTCGTCGCGGGAATGGCGTCGGGAACTCGAACCGTAGCAATACGTCGTCGAACAGCGATGGCCAAGGCTCACGCGGCAGAGGTCGCGGCAGCCAATCATCCACACGTCGAGGTCGAGGAAGCGGCCAGGACAGTGGCCGAAACCACTAGGGTAGGTGTCGTTACTGCCATAATTCCCAGAGCACGAATGGCACAACTGCCCGCTTCGTCTGTCGCACGAAGCTGAAGATGCCCGAGAAGATGAGGCACACACCGTGCAAACAACTAACCACGTCTGAGGCGTGGTTTACTTGATTGAGTCTAGGACAGCAGCGATTGGATGACTTCAACTTCGTTGTCGGAGACAACCCGCAGAGCCGAAGACGCCTGCTGCAGCGGAACTCGAGGAGCGCGCTGTGACGTAAAGGTGATGAAGATACCTGCTGCAACGTAGCCGGAGGAGCGCGCTGCTGGTGACGTGCAGGTGCAGAAAGCGCCTGGGGTAGCGATGGAAGATGAACTCGCCGCCACTGACGTTCAGGTGGAGGATGCACTTGGTGCAACATGCAGCACGTTGCATTCACCAACGCTCTAAAAGTCAAGGAAGAAGAGGCGAACTCACGGTCTGTTGGGAACACGACCGTGTACACTGATTCTGCGGCATTGAGCCATACAGCTATCCAAAGATGTGGTCGATACGAAAGACGTGCGGTACGATAAGAGCAAATAAGAAAGCTACCCTCGAGTTTGGGATTCATAATGATAAATATATCATCATCATACCAGATGAGCATGTGAACGACGGCAAGCAGGTGCTAATGGCGCCTGCATCAACCCTGCCAGCTGATGTTGTTATCGTCGACAAGCAGCAGCAGGTGCCGATTGTGCCTGCAGCAGCAGCGATGATAGAAAAGCTTGATGCCGACCACGTACTACGGGTTCACGATACATACGAACCAACGACGCGTTTATGTGTGAGCTCGTTGTCCCATGCGTGCGGGGGCATGAAATGCCTGAAGAAGCAGAGCTTGTGATCGCCACAGACGACGAGATATCGGTGGTGATAGCTCCACCGCATGTGAGGTAGTACTGATGATGGTGGCCAACTTAGGAGCCAACCTGCATTCGGCCGGAGCAATGGCCGAAATAGGGGTAAACAAACGTGTACCTCTGTTCGACCCCTCTACTCTCCACGTTACACTGGATGAGGATCAGCATGACCAGTACCGGCTTTGGGAGCGAGGGCGGTATGACAACACACCAAACCCGAGAAGATCCAGGTTTTGGTAACTTTTGTGCAACATCCCAAACCCTACCCGAGGGTTTGGGAACTTGTGTACACCGCACACCCTACACATTAGCTGGGAAACATTTGTATCGCTCTAAAATACCTGAGGGTACGGGTATACTCTACTCATCGTTGTACTGGACGTACTGTACGTGACCGGACGTCCTTTTTTTTTGCACCTCTTTTTCGGTGCACCAGCCAGCATCATAGACGAGAAGGCCACACAAATACGAGTTTTTTCGTGCTTTCTTCATCTTCCTTCTTATCACGAGAAGGCTCCAGCCTTTCCTGTCCCTTGTCGACCGTCAAGTCGATTTTTTATGCCCATGAATCCATCGCGATTCACGTTTGGAAGCAGCACAACAAAGTTGAAGTGTGCACTCGACTTGACGCCTCGACCAACAACCCGATGATGTTTTTTTTCGTCCCATCTTCCGTAATATCCTGGCATTCTGACCCACCTGGATGGGAAGCAAATGCTGTTCATCCATAAATTCACGATGATACCAATCAAGGCGTGTACAGACCAACAACTGCACATACACATACAATTCGTCTCGCAAGCCTATTTCAAGAAATATATTTCCAGTGGTACTAAATAACGTACAAGTTTTGATTTTCAACCGTTGGTGGTTTGGTTGAGGTTTTTGGCCCCATTAAACAACCACGACCGAACCTAGAGTACCGAGTGAGTGACGTTTCATGCGCCGTCTCCCCCCTCTCCCCGCTTAGATGACTACACGCCCCAGTTTTGAAGCCTGACAAAAGAGGCATAAAAATATGAGCAGCCCCCTACCCACTCTCCCCTGCTCCCAAGACTTCGATAAAGTGTGCCCGCGACGACGAAACTATGATGCCTCGAAAAGGCAACGAACTACTATACATGAGCAGGGCCAAAGCCATCCTGTTCACCCTCACCATCACGGTTGCCATAGTTTGTTGTAGTACAACCCGCCACCCGAAATATTACATGCCACGAGCCTTTCGTACTTTCACCATCCTACTTTTTGGCCACTTCAAGGAGATTTCAAGATATCTTACAATGTTTGCCAACCACCTTAATATATTAATCATCATTAATCATCATTCTTCATCATCAGCTAATTCCTTGGTTGTTTGCCAACTACCCCGCCTATCCATGAGTCGCCACGCGTTCTAGCAGATATAACTAACGAATCGCACAAACCTCAGCGCAGTTGTTGTTTCCACAATAAAAATCACCCCAACCTCCATCCAGTATGTCTGCTCCCCTGCTGCTGTGTTCAAAGAACAGAAAGAAGCTCCCTTGGTCACAGGCTAGCCCAACTACAAGGTACAGGAAACGAAAGGCCAAGAGTAAGCTCCAACACTCACAAAAAATTACAACGAAGTCATGAAAACGAAAACAAACACGGACAACGGCGGAACAAATGAAAAACAAGACCAAACACCACTCGTTTAACAAACACAGATGAGTCCACTGCTCTCGATCCCTCGAAACCTGAATTACGAACAAAGTACCACACAAGCAACCACCACAAACAAACGAAACATAACCCGAACATCTATTCTCGCAATGAAGCCGGGAAGAGTTCATGGTTCTTTTTTTTTTTCGCGGGCCATGCCAATTCCGCTCCGATGCCTGGAGGTGTGAGAAGGGTCGCCATGCACACCAAGGCAGAGGTGCGCATTGTCCTGGAGTATTCCCCAAGCCTATGCGTGTATGTCTTTTCACAAACGACCACCATAGAGAGCAGCATCTGTGTGGGACACCTCCCTTGCTTTCCCCTGCTGAATGGCGTCAATGATCCAACACGCGCCTCGGATCACGGAGGATTTCGCGCACGACATCCGATGCAAGCTCTCAGTCAGCAGCTATCACCGCCATCATCACACTAACGCCATCACTGCCACCCTACCACCACCATCGCCACTCATTCATGCCCATCATCATCACTTTTCATCTCCATTCACCCCTGAACCCCGGCCACCGCCCCGGTGTTGTCCTTGAACACCTTCGCCTGTATGAGGAGGTTCATGGTGTCAAGGTGCCCGCACTGCGCAGCCAATTCTACGAGCGATGTTGCAGTCAGCGGTTTCCCACCGCCTGCTTCCAAGGACGAGGAAGGTAGCAGGTCCATGTTGGCTCCACGCTCCAAGAGGAACCTACACACCTCTGTTTTTCCATGATTCACGGCGCAAGCGAGTGCGGCAGCCCTGCAGGAATGATGGGGGACGGAGTCATGTTTTTTCTCAACCCTGAAAAATCTCGGGGAAATTAGAACGCTCGGAACCACTGCTACGCGCTTGCTTCTATCGCTCCCCGAAGACAAGAGATAACACATAAACTGAAGCCTAGGGCGTAACATACACTTCAACTGGTGAGATCGCCGCAGTCACGTTATTTTTCCATCGAAAGCACCGTGCCGGCATGTTTGTAGCACGTACCGTTGACATATCCCTACAGCAGAGCATCAAGTGTGGTACACCCAACAACAACCGAATCTCACCCACATGGACGGCACGCGCAGAGGCACCACTCTTTAACTTCGCGGCTTTTGCCCCTGACACACTTACCTCGAAGGCAAACAACCGACGGCGTTCAGACCCCCGCATTCTGCCCGCCCTATCAGCACCTCCACGGCCTCCGCGTTCCCACCGCTACCCGCAAGCTGGAGCGGGGTCATGAAGCGCATCCCTGCGCACGGCGCGCACGCATCCGCGCCCGCGTCCAGCAGGGCTTGGACGACTTCCGCGCAGGCGCCCTCCGCGCAGGCGAAGTGCAGAGGCGTGCACCCGCGTGTGCTACCAACTTTGTTGACATCGGCGCCCGCGGCGACAAGCATGCGCACCAGCGACGGGCCAAGCGTTGGGCTGGCCTTTGTGCTAGCCCCTCGGGCGACGGATTCCAGAGGGGTCATGCCGCGGAATGCCCGGAGGGTCGGGTCTGCGCCAGCCGCCAGCAGCTACGGGGGGGGAGGAGGGGGGGGGGGGGTACTCATAGTCGTGCATGCCGTAGTCGTTAGACCATTGACCTCGACCTCGCATCCCTACAAAGCCGGGACGGAGCACGCCGGGTTCTCACCGACCAGGCTCTCACATCACCAAGCGCGAAGCGCCGTGAGATATTCGGCGAGTCGCATGAAGGGTGCGCTGCATCCTGCTAAGGGTGTTCGGCACCTTGTGCTTTCTTCCTTGCTTACGGATGACAGCTGCGTATGAATTAATTTACTTTCTGGTGCTTTCACTTCCAGAGACAGTTGTAAGCACTGTGTAACTGCCTCGAGGGTGCTTGACCATTTTAACACAACGTGGTGCGATCATCCCCCTTGCGCGGAGCGAGGGTTCTCCACCCCGCACAACATGATCTACTCGACCACCATTATGGTTACCGCCAAAAAAAAAAAACGGAGGTAAAAAAAAAACGGTAACCTGGTTGCCGAGTTCACGAAGTGAATTGGCTTGTTTTACAACGTCGTTGCCAGGCGACGAAAACCCAATCCCGATGGCAAACACCGGGGGGAGGAGGGGGTTCGGGGAATTACACAAAAAGAAGAGGTGGGGGGGCGGGGAGGGGGCAGCGTTTTGATCGAAGTATGCTTGACGCAAACGCTGTTTAGGTGGTGTGTTGTTGTTCCCACGTGCCTACCGAAACGAGAGCTGACCAGTTTGACTCGCGGTTGTCCGTCTGTTGAGGGTTAGTCAACTGGTTTGTCGAAGAGAGGGAAAAGGACGGGGGGCGGGTGAAAGCAACCGCCGATGTTCTGTGTTGTTAGAAAATGTTCTCTGAGGGACGACAAGAGAAGCGGTGCCAAAAACAACATCCTTATGGTTCTTAGGAGCTCAGAGCCCTTTCTGAAGATGACGTGTTGGCCTCGTCTCGTGGCGACAAACGGCGCCCACACAAGGAGTATTGCAGGTCCGGCAGACACAAAACAAAATCGTCCATACCACCATGTACCCCTCGTTCCGATCTTCGTTTACTTCAGGATTAATCTGAACGCACGACCCGCGCAGCTCCTGTTGCGAGCGCGTTCCTCTACGATCTGGGCGACCCTCGCAAAGCACAGAGCAGAACGACACGAAACGAATTACAACCAACACCGACGGGACCTATTGCTGCCAGAAAAGTCTCACCGCCTCGACAATCCTAAGGGCTTCGTCCTCCTCTTCTTCCTCGCAGGCGTACCACACGGCGGCCACCAGGGGTGTCACTCCGCCGTCGTCCACGCCGCTCACTCGGTCACGCATGTTGATCTGCCTCGGCGACAGCCTCGGCAGCAGCAGCTCCACGGCGCCCAGCCTCCCGGACATGCACGCCACCGTCAGCGGGGGTCGCAGATATTCGTTCCAGCAGTGGCCGGGCACAGCACCGGCGCTGAGCAAAGCCGCCACCGTGCCGCACATGTTGTACTCGCACGCCACGTGGAGCGGCGTCCAGCCCTTCTCCCCGCCCGATCCGGGCGAAGCTCCCCCGTCGAGGAGAGCCGCCAGGACACCCCCGGCCGGCATCAGTACGGCCTTGTGGAGGGCAGCTTCCCCGTTCGAGTCCTTCAGGTCGGGCGAGGCGCCGGCCTCGAGCAGGGCCTTGACGACTCCCGTTTTGACGGCGCCGGTGGTACTCGCCGTCGCCGCGTAGATCAGCGGGGTGCGGTCGGCCTCGTCTCGGCTGTTCACGTCGGCGCCGGCCCGTATTAGGGCTTCCACGACTCCGGTGCTGGCGCCGTTGATGGCGGCGAAATGGAGCGGGCACTTCCCTCCGCAGTCCTTCGCGTCCACCATTGACGACCGGCGGCCGAACTTCCCGTCGGCGGTGGTTGCGTTTGGTGCTGAGGCCGCGCCGCCGCCTGTCACGCTGCTGTATGGCGCCACTCGAGCAGCAGTAGCAGAGCCGCAAGCACTGTTATCGCCGTTGCTCGATACAGCAGTTGCTAGCAAAGCCTCGGTGACTTCGACGCGACCGTTCATCGCCGACATGTGGAGAGCCGTCGAGCCGCACCGGGGGCGCCTGAGGCCCACGTTAGCCCCGGCGTCAATGAGCGCCTCCACCATGGCGACGTCAAAGCGGGTCGCCACGTGGAGCGGAGTCCACCCAGATCTGTCCAGCGCGTTGGGGTCTTCCACCACCTCCAGGAGCTCCACCACGAACCGGACGTCTTCAGTGATGATTGCCTCGTGGAGGGGCAAGTCTTCGCACTGCCCTCCTCGGTTGTCGTCGCGGCCGTCGAAGAAGGACGCGAAGGCGGCGGTGCAGTCGTCCTCGTTGCTATCGCGATCGCGGACGCCGCCCTCGCGGTGGTTGCCGCCGCCGTTTGAGTCACCGTCGCCGCCGTTCGAGTCCGACGGGGCGGGGGTCCACCCTCTCTTGGCCAGGATCTCGAGCAGTCTCTCGCTGTCGCTTGATTCCGTGCACTTCGCGGCATACAAACGGGCTACCTCCCGCGACGGCCTCGGACCGACAAGCAGGATGCGCTTCATCAACCTCTCGTTGTCCATGGCCAGCATTGTAGGCGTGCAACTTCGCCGGGGGGGGGAGAAGGGGGCGCGATTAAAGTGGGTGGAAATACGTGAGCGATAGCACGGAATCGGAGCTCGGCCACATGGTCATTCATGTCTTGTCTCGCCAGTCGGTACGCCGGGGCTTGCCCAAAATCCTGTTGCAGGGGTTCGTTCTGTGCGCCAAAAAGAGGGACAGTGAAAGGGATATTTAAGGCTGCAACGGCAGGTCAACTTTAGGTAGAATCGCCGACGCCATAGATAGTGACTTAACTACTTGATAGATAGCCCAACTTTTGTCAGGACAAATTTCGATCAATGTAATACTAGGGATAGCACAACCAAGGTTACGAGTTGAGGACCTCTAAAACACAAACAAGGCATATTTCGGGTGGTACAGTTCTCATTTCACATCTCCCCCGCTTTGACACCTCCTAGAAAGAGCGCGAGGGGATGGGCACCAACCTGAAGAAAGGAAGAAACTCGTAAAACATGGTGGACAGAAAGTACACCAATGGACGATACCGAGGAGACAAGAGCGAACACGGGTGAAGGCCAGCTTTCCCCTGGCGTGTATTGTATGGTTTCGCGTAGAGGTTTTCCTGGACAGTAATGCTACGGACATCGATGGGCAATACTTGGGCGGAGCACGAAAGACGTTGGCGTCAGCTAGGCCGTTGCGGATGCTAGCAGGCACGGAGAAGAGATGATAATGGTTGTTAGCGTGAGGGTCACATTAACAGCAACAACGTGTTACAACACACAAAGAAACACTACAAGTAAAACAGATTTCACGTCGCCTCTCGATCGCCAAAGAAAAAGGAAATTACGAGTGAGCTACACAGCCAGACCATCACCCCTCAACCACGAAGGACAGACCTGCACTCGTCCAGGCTGTGCACGTTAGCCCCCGCCAGGAGCAACAGGTGGGCCATGATGTTGCTGAGGCCGTTCACGTGCGCACCGTTGCAGGCGTGGTGCAGGGGCGTCCTGCCGAACCAATCACGTGCCTCGAGATTCGCTCGGGCGGCCACGAGCAACTTCACGGCGTCGGCTTGACCGTTCTGAACCGCGACGTGCAGAGCCGTTCTCTTCGAGCGATCCACGGCATCGACTCGTGCCCCAAGCTCGAGAAGCTGGTAGGGAGAGAAACAGAGTATGAGGGGGGGCAGGGGGCGGCGTGCAAAGAGGCAAGGGGTAGAAACAGGGACAATGAAAGAGCAGGGGCGAGCATGAGTTAGGAGGACATGGACAACGGGGCAAAGTGTTTGCAAGTGTTTGGAGTAACCTGAGCAAGGGCTTGCGTTTCAGACGCGCCCGGTTTTGTTGTCTCCAAACTACAGAGACCCTGCAACTCCGCACGAGACGATATTCCCAAAGTCGGGATGTTCGCGCCGGGCCTAGTTTAGTATCGCATTGCCAAGGAAGTCTCGTCCTACCAGGCAAGGCACTACAACAACATGGATAGCGGTCTGCCGGTCGGTCCCGTTGCGACGGTTTTCACCAATACGTTGAGCAGAACAGCGGAAGCGTTTTTGAGCGTTTTGAACAATATCGGGAGCCGTGCCCTCCTACGCGAAAAAGGATGTTCAGGATTTCATAAGAGTCTCCCAAGCGGTAGGAAGAAGGGTGACAGCCGTACCGTATGCATCGCGTCGAGGTGTCCGTAGCCAGCCCCCAGGTGGAGCGGAGGGAAATGACCCGTGTCCGGCCCACAAGCCGATAAATCGGGACAGCGTGACGCGCAGACGAAGATGATGTCTGCAAACACGCGCCGATGTTTAACAAGGCACACATGATGTATGATGCAGCAGTTGGATTTCGTATGCGTGCAACGTGCAAGATACAGAAGCATGCATGAAAATTCATCAGGTACTTTCGTAACGCCGGGTTCACCTCTTACGGTATTCTTGTACCCCCCTGCGTTCTTCTATTAATATGTTCATGCCGTGCCCCCACACTCCCGCTGATCCCAGAGGTTAACTTTGAACACGGACTGTTGGTACAAACGCATGAGTTTGTAGCGGAAGTAGCAGCGACATGCCTGAATGAGTTGCAGGGGACGGGTCACCTGATCCAACACGCACCTACTCGTCAATCTGGATAGCAAGGCCGTTGTTACGCCAAGGTGAATACCCCACCGTTTCCTTGTTGTCGAATCCCTTGCCGTCTTGCCTACCGGTGAGCGCTCCACGGCACGCTTCGACAGCCATCTACTGAATGTACCGGTAGGTGTTTCTTCGAGGCGAGACGCTCGGATTAGCTCGTTACAGTCGGTTGCTCCTTTCGCCCCCCCTCTGGTCGTAAAACGTTCCATTTCGCACCTCGTTTGTCATATCACCAGAAGCCTGTCTGCCCTGTCTACGATACTCTTACGCACCCCCAACTCCCATTGCTGCTTACCTAGAGAACACTTGATTGACCAGCAAAGGTCGGTAATCTCCATGCGATTGCTTTCGAGCTTCAAGTTATTGAGGTGATGGAGTAACTTCTCGAAAGTATCAAGTTTGAGCTTGCTTCTGGAACATGAGCATCAGCTTGTCTCAAATGCTCAGCATGGCCTATAGACTGCTGCGTTGAGACTTTAATCATGTGTAAGTGCTGCATAGACTTCAAGCTTGTAAATAGCTTACTACAGCAGGATAGTAGACATAGTCTACATGAAGACCACATACATTCTGTAGCCTACAGCAGTAGTCTAAATCTGTTTTAGTCTACGTAGAGCAGTAGGCTCTGCAATGACCCACCAACCGACCGCCGCTGCTCAGTACATGTGGTCTACAGCAGTATGGTACCGCCCGTTGTGTGGGTATAACTAGCTATTCCGGTGGAGGGAGACGAAAGAGCGGGGAGGAGAGAGAGTGCAGAAAAGGATTGTCGGCATATTGCACTCTCACCGAAGGGCTCTCCGAGTGTATAGTACATGCACTTCGGCTGATGTTCACCTGGTTCTTGGTTTGTCTGGACGGCCCAACACAAAATGGTGCAGCGCTTCTAGGCTGCCACGATTCTTTCCCCGAGCGAAATCACCAATCATGCCTTTCGACGGCCTTCTCGTTGTAGCAGCCCTCCTGCGCATGATTGAATCTCATAGGTCGGAAGGTCTGCGGTGTGCGGTGCAACTTTACCCCAGTCCCTCGTCCCTCGCTTCCGACTTCCCTGTTCCGCAGCGCGGGTGTCCTCGTGTTCAGACGGATCGGTCTAACGAACCATGGCTGCTCCTCCTGGGTATCTTACGAGCACGATACCTGCCCTTCGTGTTGAATGTTTCGTAGCTGCTTAGGTGATGAGCCGAGAGGAGAAGGATCAGTGGTAACAGGTAACAGTAAAGCAATTAATTGGGTAGAAACGAGGGGGGTGGAGTGTAGAGAATGAGAGGGGGGGCGGGGTGATCCATACTCTCAACGGCGGAGAGTTTTTTTTTTATTTGCTTAATATTGTGGGCACCACATGTCAGTATATAAGGCTTGGGGCACATCGTCTCGTGTCGGGCAATCACCCTTTTTACAAGTGGCGTCAGCGTCAGGGTGTCATCCCTGCAATGTCAAAATGCCGGGTTCGAATCCGGGCACGTGTAAATGGGTGGTTTTTTGTCCGCCGCCAGCCGGTCGGGTTCCGGGTACCACTACCGTACATGCTACGGTGGGTGCGTCGTGGTACCCGCGTATTTGTCTACGATGCTCAGCTGTCCGCTCGCTCGTATCCATTTGTCTACGATGGTCAGCTGTCTGCTCGCTCGTATCCGGGGGTATGTGGGCACCACATGTCATTCATTAATAAGGCTTGGGGCACCTTATCTCGTGTCGGGCAATCACCCTTTTTACAATGTACCACAACGAATCCATCTCTATCTAGACTATTTGTAAGGAGTCCAAGACAGATTATTTGCAATGAATCCATAGATCTAGACTATAGCGAGCGTCAGTGAAGAAGGCTACCTGTGTTTCCATGATTTCCCGAGCAGCATACAGCGACATCTCCCCCGTCGGTAACAGGGTCAACAAGACAGTGTGGTAGCCGTGTTTTGTGCATCTATCTGCATGTATGTTACGCTGGGAATGTACGGAAGGAATGTGTTGGGTCGTTGGTTTGTCGGGTGTGTCGTCGGCGGCACCCTTATTATGGAACTGCTGTGTTCCAAGTTTGAGGTGTGTGTATGGTATCATTACACGGGTGGCCAGAGGGCAGGTTGTGGGTGGGTTGTGAGCATCCACAAGGTAGGGGCAGGTTGTAGAGGGGGGTTGGGAGGAAGCCCCTGTTCGTGAGTCTGCGAACATTGCTGTTGGATACATGTGCTGGATGATTTTGTGTCACGCAGACTGGTAAGATAACCGTTTGATAGGGGGCAACGCGATGATTCACGGGGCCCCTCCTTGCTGTGGGAGCCGCTCTTTGAGT